TCTTGATATTCAATACCTAGAATTATATGTTAGGAACGCTGTAGCAATTGGTTATTTTCTACCTGATGGATGCATATTTCAATTTTGCGGTTAAGAGGTGCGGGTGCGGCCAATTATCGTGATTCGGCAATAACAATGGACATGAGCGGAGTCTGTCCTCTATTTGTGCTGCTCCTTGTCCTTTGGTACATAATGAATGTCTCCAGAAAATTTGACATAATTCTAAAGAGAATTGGCTGAGATGTTTGTATTTTACGGTGGACTATCCGCGAAGGTAGATCGCCACCTTAAAATGAGAGAGTTCTTGTGCCTACACTGTCAATGCGGCCAAAAATAACCAAACAAGAAGCGGAAATTGCAGAAGTGCAGCGACAGAAAACTCTTTACCCCTTTCTGCTATGAACTACAACTAACTTTACACAATGCAGTAGTCTGTTGCACGCATCCTCCATCATTTCAGTGCACGCAAAAGAGAATGCACATAACACAGCTGCCGTAGATCTACTGGTTCTGCGAAAAGAGTCTGAAGGAGTATCCAGTTGTCCAACGTGTAGTCTGTGACTTGCCCCGTTGACACCTTGTCATATCTATAGGGCCAAGGCTGCCGAAAAGTTGCGAATTAAGTTAGTTCTTCTTAAACTATCACCTAGCCGTTAGAAAATTAATGTTAGCAGCTTGTGATTGGATTTCTCACCTGCCATTTTCTTGTAACCCCTGGCACTGTGTTGCTGGAGAGGTTAGCAGCTTGTGATTGGATTTCTCACCTGCCATTTTCTTGTAACCCCTGGCACTGTGTTGCTGGAGAGGTTAGGGAGCATCTCATAAGTTCGCACTTTTTTTGTAAACGTAACGCATTTCGAATAGACTTTACCCCCCTACCTCCCCCCTCTATTTGAAAGTCTTATCGCACATTTTCCGTGTGGATCAAAGTCATGTACATGTACGGGTACTGTGCATGTCCATGCCATGCATGTCCATGCCATGCATGTCCATGCACATGTATGCCATGGTATGCACATGAATGTCAAAGTGAATGGCATACAGTACTGCATCTATGATCTACTGAGTACAAGAAATGACATGTACACGCACATAAACAGAGTTCCTCCACAACCACTGACTGTGTATTGTAAAAGCTGGCCAGGTACACAGTTTGATGATGCTGATGTGACACTTGACACCTCTGAGTAGCCTGCATGCATGCAGTGCAAGGCTGATCTCCAAACACAGGCACATAGATCTACACCTAGTAGTGTACCTAAACACACTCATTTGCTGAAGCGATCTAGCACATGCATGCATGCACAGTATGTACACATCCAGGAAATATGCGAACTGTCATTTTTCTATTCGAAAAGGGCGTTACCCCCCTACCCCCGTTTCGAAATGCGTTACGTTTAGAAAAAAATGCGAACTTATGAGATGCTCCCTTAGCAGCTTGTGATTGGATTTCTCACCTGCCATTTTCTTGGAACCCCTGGCACTGTGTTGCTGTAGAATTGTAACTTCTCATTCTCACACTTTGCCCGTAATCTTGCGCCCATGTTTTGTAGTATAAATCTGACATCTCCACCTGATATCATCCTATTCAATATCACCTTCTCTGATGAGCCTTATGAAGGCGAAACAGCTGTCAGGAGGAATTTCAGTATCTACCTGCAACCCTTCCTTGTATGGCTGTTGGTGTGTGTAATGGCTACCGATGGTAGCAGTGAGTCGGCTGTGAGAGCGCATGGAGGAGAGGAGAGGAAGAGTTCTTTACATTATATTGGCCGAATAGTACCGTTCACCATTTAAAATTAAGTTAGTTGTTCGCGAAAATGAAGAAAGTTGCGAAAGTTGCGATTTCTTTCGGCATGAATCTCAACCCGGCCAAGTGTGCCGTGCTGCACGTCAGGAGAGGAAAACCAGATGAAGGATGCTCTATCCAGGTTGGCGATGAGACCATTGCAGAGTCACTACTACTCAATGAAACATACAAGTACCTTGGAGTAGTGCAAGCAGCCATGATACCGCACCCGCAGCTCAAGACACAACTCACCGCAGAATACAAAAGAGATTACATTTTGCTTCTTAACAGTGGATTGAATGCGAGAAACATGATCAAGGCCATCAATACGTATGCTCTGCCGGTTATGACATACAATTATGGAATCGTAAATTGGACCGAGGCTGAAATAAAGACCACAGATCGAGCGACAAGATCAGCCTTGACTGCGTCTGGATTTCACCACCCCAAAGCCTCAGGCAACAGGCTCTACATGAGGAGTGGAGATGGAGGCCGGGGCTTGGTCTCTTGTGAGGATGTGCACGGCCGGAGCATGTGTGGCCTGGCCCGCTACATGAGTACCAGCGCAATAGACAGAATAAGCCTGCTTTATCAGTATCATCAACAAAGGCACAATCTTCCTCAGCCTACTCAAGCTCAACTGACGAGGGGTGAATTCCCCGAAACACTGTGTATTGAGCAGGGAGTGGTGCTTTCTTGCAGGTTTGCCGAGTGGACGGTTCAATGGACTTCTCGTGTGCTCTGGATGGCAGTCGTGAGTCAGTCAAGTGAGAATTCAAGTCGGCAGGAAAACCGCGAGCTCCCATGTAGGGAGCAACACTCTCTTCCCCTACTAGTACTAGGTAGGTACATTTTTATTTGAATTCGCAGAACCAAACGGGCGGTGTCGCCCAATTACATGGAAGCGAATGGAAACAGTAAAATATTGTAGGAAATAGCCTAACATGATAGCAGGGTGTATCGCCGAAGTCGCACCAACCTCTTCTTCACATGACTATCAATGCAGAAATAATGTGCCAGAATCAGTGTACTGTCTGTGTAGCTAGTGAGAGTCTGTGTATGGCACTTTTCTTACTTGACACGTGACCGTATCATAGGAGTTGTCCAATCACCACCTTTCCCGCCGCGGGCATGATTGAGCCATCATGCCATTGCCCGCTGCCCTTGGCAACACTGACGTCACTTCAGGTATGATTGACAATCATGCCCGTGGTCAAGTGGCAACGGGATGCAGCCAATAATATGACGAGGCGCGGGTTTTGAAGAAAGAAGCTAGTGTAAGTACAATCATGTAGAAAGGAATGTCAGTTGCTGAGAGGCAGTTTTTGTGATTCGTACTGGCTGTGAGGATGGAGCCTTCTTCCAAGAGATTTCTACCCGTTTCGGAAGAACATGTTGACTCCGTGATTAGCGCTCGATTTCCGAGAAAGTTCCAAGAATTCCACGAACTCTTAGTTCAAGGACTTTTAGGTGGCAGATGCTTTCCGTGGTAGAACTACATGTACGTACCATAAAAAGTCTTGAGAGGACTCGAGCAAAGCTGAACTCAGAGAATTCCTCGCGGCTCCCTACGTAGGTGCTCATCGTCAGGACGAGCAGTGTTATCAACGTAAACAGTCTACTGGGCGTCTCAGAGCGGTTCAGAAAGCTGCACGATGAGCCCTGAAGACGTGAAGTAATATTATTATAGGAGCAGCTGAACGCGAAACATTGTGCTGGGTTAGGCTCCTGCACCATGTCTTGCGTTAGCTCTAGACTCTATGATGCTGTTGTACATGCTGGAAAGAGACCGGCTATGTTTCTTCCTTGCAGCTTGTACTGTTGTAGATCTATACATTTACCACTATGCATAATTATGTGGAACTACATGTACATGTACATGTAGTTGTAGTTTTTACTTGCTGCGTGTTTCTGGCAGTGATTTTGAACGGAGTACTGTCGGGGTACTGGCGGGTACACTAGCTCTGGGCTGTGTATTTACACACACAGCTATTTATGACATTAGACTGTATTTACAGACATTTATCTCCTTTCTTCCTGTTGTTTTTAAACTACTGGCCGCCATATTGCCAGGAGCGTGCTTGCCACCAAAATTATGAATAAAGTAACTAAGATTACTTACTTAGTTTCAGGATGTACGTGTAGCTCTGGGCGTACGTTATTTAGATGAAAATGTTCTCTCGTGTCTTCTTGACTCTTGTTACTTCTTGTGTTCTGGCTGTAACCAGTGCAGAGTGACCTTTCACGGAACTGACTGTGCATGCTAGTCTTTGACTCTGCTACGTCGTTCCGTGTGTGTGGCGTGTTGTTGTTGTTGTTGTTGTTGTTTATTTATTCGTGTGCATGGCCATATGGGTCAAGTAAGAAATCCAATCACACCGTGACGATCTCACACTCGTACTCTTGCTTGATTCCATACATCAATGTCTACGGAAGTGTCCTCGCAGTGAGTGCGTTCGATTATGCGCGCGTATCGATTCATGAATCGATTCGCGCTATTCACATCACCCCATATGGGTGAATGGATTCCAGGCCAGTACTAGGGGTCATGTCATGACATGAAAATCGAGCGACTTGAATGCATGGGAATGGATTCATGAATCGATTCAAGTGCATAATCGAACGCAGCCAGGCAGAGGTGATGGTTGTGTGCACGAGGGTCTACTAGTACTAGTAGTAGGCTAAAGAGCGCAGTGTAATGGTGGAGGTGGCTCAACATTTTCTGCAATGGTCGAGAGGCTACGAGTACGAGAGCTCTGTGGCATTACGTCTACATGACATAATCACATTGTACTGTAGTAACTGTCGACTCGTACTCTCTGGTACAGTAGACATGTACCTGTACAATCAGGATGTTAGTTTGACAGCTTGAAACAAGGTGGAGAAACACCCACATGGTTCAGTTGGTCCCAACGGACCGGAGCTCTGAGCTCTGCCAACCGTGGCGGCTAAGGTCACTGTTTCCGAACACAGTGTCCTCCACCTTGTTTCATGCTGTCAAACTAACAACATGTGTGAACTATAATGTATAACAATGTTTATCTAATATCAGTATTGAACTAGTATTGGGTTATATACTTAGTAATAGTATACAGTCATGTAGCGCTGGTGCACGTAGGGCAGACATGACGGTCGGTGTTCCGCACCGCCAAGCCACCATCAATGCAATAATTATATGCATCATCATTACATTGTACATGTTTGCACGGACGCCACTTGCTGGCCTAACGTTACCACCACGGCACTGGCACCAGAGTCCAGATCCTTCATGCTGCCTGTGCAAGGGGTAGGTGTCATTGCTATACTACTAGTACATAATGTAGTTCATATAAAGACAGAGCAGGGAATACCTTTCTGCAGTCCTCAGAGTCGTACCTGTTCATGTCGCAACTGCATTGCCCCACTTTCGCTCATTTCAGACGGCATCCTAGTTGGAAAAGTGGGGAAGTAACTCGACCGGAGTCAAAATGGTTGCTGATCGCGTTCTGTACTTCGCCTTGGCGACCGTTCTGCTTAGTCTCTACTGTGTTGGAACGATCCAAGCTCAGGGCACGTGCTATGTAGCAAACTGCAAAGAAGACAACTATACCAAGTGCACGGAGACCGTAACAACCTGCAACTCGTTTTATTGCGTGAAAGGATCGACATACAGCCGTAAGCAATGCACATGTACTGTTTACAGGAATGTAGTTTGTACCCAATCTGTTGTTGTTTCAAATCTTTATTCTCGCGTTGTTGTTGTTGTTTTGGTCCGTTTCACATCCAGTGGAAGCGACTCCCTGTGCAGTTTCTTCGTTACTTTAAATCTCGTAAATACTTCATGGTTGAAACTAGGGGAGGGGAAACTAGGGGAGTAGGAAAAACTACTACTAGTACTCCCCTGATAAAAAATCCTTTCCCACACTGAGTCACCCCGCGCGACAGCATGCAGCGGCTGATTTACAGTGATTAGTCCACAATCCCAGCAGCTGTTCCAGTGGCACACTAAAGCTGGGCGCCCACCTTCTGTTGCCTCAACCATTCGTTCTATCGCGGACATGATCACTTATCCAATAGTCTATTACATGTATATTAATTAGGGGTGAAAGTTGGCACTGAGATCCCGAGTTCGAGTACTCTGATTTTCTCCGATCGAATATTCGAGTATTCGAGTATTCTTCATCCCCTAAAAATTGCACACCAGGGGCCTTAAAATCACATGATACAACCCTGATTGAACCGAGTAGCAGTCATTTTTCTCATTTGGGCTCTCTCAACTCGCGAAAAAATGTTCACCACACAGTCTGCACCTCAATATCTGCCTACTGCTGCTCTGAAACTGCAGATTTCTGTGATAAATGCATGCACCATGTATGAACGAGTACTCTGATTTATTCCGAGTACGATTATTTTTGAAAAAACCGAGCGAGTACTCGAGTACTCGGTATAATTGTTTCACCCCTAATATTAATTATTCTTATCTTCTTACATCTTTCCCACGAGTGGGTCTATTGTTATTAGGCAATTGCCTGATATCGTCACCACTATAAATAAAATCCAATCCAATCCACTCCACTACTGAGGAGACTACGGTGACTACAGATTACAGTAGATGCTGAGACAACAATGCTTGAGCCTCAAGCCAAGTTGAGGTTTCGCAAATGACCATATCTCTTGTTACAGCCAGTATCCGACCGCCGGCATTTTCTACTTTTGCACTGGTACCCGTACTAGAAGTGTAAATAGATTGCGCCTTGCATGTTGTGTATTTCTGCTCATGCTTGATAGCCACAACTGGTCTGACGTGGATCAAGAAATGCCAAGATACGTCTGATGCTACAGTACCGGTGACCTGTTCTGGTTTCACCACAAGCAGCTTTCGATGCTCGTCGCACACCGTCAATGGTGCTACGCAGTCATATTGCTTCTCCTGCTGCGTGGGTCCTCGGTGTAACCGGGGAACTCCACTCAGGGCTTCATCTGCTACAGCTCTGACTGCCCTGGGTCCTATCACGCTGATAGGTTGGTCTCTATTCGCAAAGCTGTTCTAACTTCTAAGGATATTGCTTTGGCTGATAATGCGTCATCTTGCAATCTGATCCATTCCTCACTATAGAAAGAAATCCTCTCAGTTAGTTTAGTATTGCCCCTAACCTAAGACAACATGTACATGACTGTACATTGTATTTCGGTAGTGACATCACTTGCAAAAATTAACGCTATTCTGGCGAGGGGCCTGCTTGGGCCATTCTTTATCGCACCTTTCGTTATTTTTTTACAAGTCTGGCCAGTGTCAAACTCGTGAAGGAGATATGATCAAATAGAAAACAAACAGTGACATCCAGAACAAACAACACCAATATCACCCTCTATGCAACTATTCTCCCTTTGCAGCTCACTCACTGAATGCTGGATTTATCCCATCATTGTTCTGGAAGCTTGGTAGTAACTGCAGTACCTGCGTTACCTGCTGAACATTGTTTTTAGGAGTGAAACCATTCGTCTGCAACACCATAATTTTATCAGTTGATCCAGGCAGGTCCAGTAACTGGCTCGTCTCGATTATAAGTAAGTTGGTAGGCTGTTGCCGTCTTCTCGATACGAATGTCAAATTGTCAATGTATATTCAGGTCTGAATGTCATACCAACACTTACCACTTGCAGGTACTACCAAGAGTATTATACTCTTGGGGGGTTATATACTCTTGGAGTCTTGGTACTACCTGTAGCATGGCATGGGAAGGGATGACATCGTGGCGTTTGGTAACAGACAACCCGCTGGACCGCACACACTTGCACGCAAACACACACACACACACACGAAATGAACACACACACCTTGACCCTGACCTTGACAAACAAGGTCGATCCTGGGCTCTCTCTCTCTCTCACACACACACACACACACACACACACACACCACACACACACACACACACACACACACACACACACACCACACACACACCACACACACACCACACACACACACACACACACACACACCACACACACCACACACACACACACACACACCACACACACACACACACACACACACACACACACACACACACACACACACACACACACACACACACACACACACACACACACACACACACACACACACACACACACACACACACACACACACACACACACACACACACACTTCCCCGGCGAGCTTAGGTGTGTGCAAGTCATAGCACAGGTACAGGTAATCACGAAATTCACTTTTCCAGAGCGAAGGGCGATACATGTATGCCTGCTTGTGGCGTGCGTTTCGGCTACGAGAGCAGGAGCAGCGAAAGCAGGTTTTGGATTGATCCGGCCATACCATAGTCAGCGTTCCAGGCGGTTACACATGACCTCCTCGCCAGCAAACATGCGCTGGTGGCCAAACAACTACTTGTTCCGCCTGACCAACTAGATCAGTTTCGCAGCGCTTGACGTGTCGAACATCTTCTACCAGCTGTTCCTGGAGTTCGTCGACACTTTGCTTGGCGGCTGAACGATGACACATTGACTTTGAGTTTGATGGGGTGAGTCTTATCGTCGTATCGTTTGCACCAGGGGCTGCGAGATGCTGAGGGACTGGGAATGTTGCGCGGCTAAGCCCCCTTCCAGACATGGAAAGGTGAGAACGCAGTGCTCGGACATCGGAGAGCTCGGCATGGCCGCATTCTCCAGCCATTACTCTGGTAAGGAAACTCCACATGTGCCTGAACATCTGCGTGAACAATTCTGTGTAAGCAGCTAGCTCGAGGCCGGGACCACCCGTATTATTATAATTATTATAGGCTGCATGTAGCTTGTTGAGTCACCTCCACCATTACACTGCGCTTTTAGCCGACTAGACCCTCCTGCACACAACCATCCCCATTGCGAGGACACTTCCGTAGACGATATTGATAAACTCCTTCAGACAGCTGTTTCGCTAATACATAGCTCATCAGTGAAGGTAGATGTTGAATGATTGAAAAAATATAGACCAAACTGCTATTATATAGGGGGTTTCCACATACAAAACTGGCATAGCTGAGGTGATAACGTGGGAAAAGGAAGGTGTGAAGTACTGTTGACGCGCATTGGACATGCATGCAGCGTCGGAAATTCGGCGCGGAAAATCAATCACTATTCAATGCAGAAATAACGTGCCAGAATCAGACTACTATGTAGCTAGCTACACAGACGCTCACTAGCTACACAGACTCTCACTAGCTACATAGTAGTCTGATTCTGGCACGTTATTTCTGCATTGAATAGTGATTGATTTTCTGCGCCGAATTTCCGACGCTGCATGCATGTCCAATGCGCGTCAACAGTACTTCACACCTTCCTTTTCCCGCGTTATCACCTCAGCTATGCCAGTTTTGTATGTGGAAACCCCCTATATAATAGCAGTTTGGTCTATATTTTTTCAATCATTCAACATCTACCTTCACTGACGAGCTATGTATTAGCGAAACAGCTATCTGAAGGAGTTTATCAATATCGTCTACGGAAGTGTCCTCGCAATGGGGATGGTTGTGTGCAGGAGGGTCTAGTCGGCTAAAGAGCGCAGTGCAATGGTGGAGGTGACTCAACATTTTCTTCAATGGCCGAGAGCTCTGTCGCACCCTGCATGTGGCTTGTTGAACCTAAGTACCCTATCCCTTCACCTTTGAAACCGCATAGCTCTCTCCCTCTCTCTGTCTCTCCTTCTCTCTGTCTCTCTGTCTTTCTCCCTCTCTCTGTCTCTCCTTCTCTCTGTCTCTCTGTCTTTCTCCCTCTCTCTGTCTCTTTCTGTCTGTCTGTCTCTCTCTCTCTCTCTCTCTCTCTCTCTCTCTCTCTCTCTCTCTCTCTCTCTCTCTCTTTCTCTCTCTCTCTCTCTCTCTTCTCTCTCTCTCTCTCTCTCTCTCTCTCTCTCTCTCTCTCTCTCTCTCTCTCTCTCTCTCTCTCTCTCTCTCTCTCTCTCTCTCTCTCTCTCTCTCTCTCTCTCTCTCTCTCTCTCTCTCTCTCTCTCTCTCTCTCTCTCTCTCTCTCTCTCTCTCTCTCTCTCTCTCTCTCTCTCTCTCTCTCTCTCTCTCTCTCTCTCTCTCTCTCTCTCTCCTCAACCATTCTACCTCACCTTATCTTGTCTTGATCGCTCTAAATCACCCCCTTCTTTTAGGCTATGGTGCGCAAGCCCACGTGAACGCCCAGACCATAGGTCGGTGTTGTGGGCTTGCCTCACCGGCACAGGCTTACTTTGCAGCCCCTACTCTCCCTGATGTTTTGTTATTGTATATTCTGTTGTCTTCTCCCCTTCTGACGAGTAGGTTGTGTACTTAGTAAAACAAAATAGCGCAGTACGCAACACATACAGTTTAGAGAGGGTCTAGCCCCTGCCCTCTCACCTAGGCCTTGACGGATTATGCTAGCATAACTTTCGCATAATTCCTACCAAAATCGAATACATGTACTTGCATAATTCGAGGCAAATTGCATACGAATCACATAAAATTGGAATAATCCGCCTGTTTGCATCAAATTCCATACAGTTGTACATGTTATACAAGCACAAGTACAAGTAGATGCACTAGGAAGTTGTAGGTTTGCGACTCCCTTGATAACATGTCCAGTCCACTACAATCAGTGATGGTCGTAGCTAGGTCGGACGGTGCGTTGACACCGTTGAACTTTTGCTACTACAGTACAACGCCCTCTACAAAACAATTCCCCTGTTACTTTGCACAGAACCATTATGCATTAGCAGCATATGTGAGCAAGATGCGGCATAATATGATAACTTTTAGCATAAAAATAGCATAATTCTGCAATTTTTTCAGCAATGCGAAAAGCATAATTTCACGAAAATATTGGCATAATCCGTCAAGGCCTACTCTCACCCCAAAGCTATACCAAACCAGTTAATATTTTATGACTTGGGGCTCTCCGCGTGCTAGTTTGTACGTGAAGTGTGTGGGTTACCATGGTTAGAGGGAGGGCTGCGTCCCACCCACCTGTGTGGATTTACAGGAAATGTGAGTTGCGAAGTCTGAAGAGAGTGTTGAACGGTCTCTGCTGGGATGATGGATACATCAAAGCCAGTAGCGTACCTCGGTCAATATTTGTATGGATACTGGATGGTATTGCGAATTCAAATAAAAAGAACGAACAATATCTTTGGCCAACAGAGCATACATGTACATGCAGATGTATTTGAGGTACTCGATACAGATACATGTACATGTAAAGCATATTTATTTCACTGGATGCTATGCACAATATCTAGCAGTTTTCAATGACTTGTACCGCTATGTAATACAGAAGCGGGTAATGAATAGATAAAAGTTAGTAAATTTTTTCAATTCGCCATTAAAGACAACCAGGATGTATTCAGCGACAAATGCATGACAGCGGTTTAGAGCGGTTTGAGCTCTGCCAGTCTGGTGTTCACACACGATTTGGGAGAATGGTGCGCCATGGGTGATGGTGACTAGAATACAGCTGACTTCAAGTTGATGGACAAACTTATTTCTGTCACCTCCGAGCAATGGGCATGCCAAACAAAATCCAGCGTTCACGCTCTTGGAAAAAAAGGCCAGCTAAGTTTAGTTTTCCAGCCAGTAGCAACGGAACTTTCTGTACAGTCAACTTCGCTAAGAACGACTGCGTAGATAACGACAATTCGCAAATAACGACAGAATGTCCATGCCCAGAGCAAAGTCCCATCTACGAACTGTAATGCATATAATGAGACTTCGGGAGTTCGGGTATAAGGACTAGGCACCGGCGGATTATGCCGGCATAATTATTGGCAAAATTTGGTGGTTGAAAATTTGGCATCCTGCGCCTTGATCCTTGAAGGGTGGTGGCGTTCCTACGGATGCGGAAAACTCGGCCTCTATATAGAGAAACCGAGTCTCACGCGAACCGTGATTTTTTTTAATTGGCATCCTTTTGGAGGTAGGAGCATAACTACATGATTGTACCACAGTTCTAGTATGTAGGCTACACAATTGTGTACAATGCACCTGATCAGTGCTGATCCTCTTCATATTTATTTATTTCATGATTTATTTATTTCTGCACCTCGTGGCATGTCAAGACAGCCAATTGAATTGAGGAGAGGGTGAGACCAACCACGGAAGAAGAGAAAAAAGAAAATGAAGAGCACGTACATAAAGTGTGAAGGGATTTTTTTTCTTTTCTGAATACCACAGTACCATCAGATGCTGAACAGCGGGGGCGGTGGCATATTGGACGGAAGGTTTTTTTTTATTATTAGAAAGACAGGACAAGTGAATAATTAGTCAGTCCATTGTTCATGATGATCTCCGACGGTTACGTCGGCAAGCGAGCCTCCGCCACTGCCAAAGCAGCGTGGGCTCCGCAGGAGGGTGCAAATTTAAAACTAAAATTTAAACGCCTACAACCGCGAATGCACATGATACAGGATTTCAGAAGGCTGAAGGAAATCCTGCATCTAACAAATGCCATAACATGAGAGTAATGCTCACCCCTCTTCTCAGCCAACAGATGAGCAATCCGTTTATACAGTGCTGTTGATGCTGGACCCATTCCGCCACTGGCTGACATGACCGCCGGAACAAAGGAGGCTTGCTCAACCTGCCTCACCCGCTCCTCATAGTGCCTTCTCTTTTCTTTTTCATGTCGCTGATACACAATAGTATGTGGTGCAGATCGATTTGAGCGTGAGTGAGGATTAAAAACCCGTATATCAATAAGTGTACGCTCAAAACGACTGCCCACAAACCATTGGCAGCGACATCCAACCGGGCACGGTCTTCCACATTTGCGGTCCGGTAGCGAAGACGCTCCCCCGTCAGCGGTTATTGGACGGGAGTGGGGGCGGGGCAAAAGTGACTCCTCCGACCAAAGGTGTCGGAATCATCGTTACTCCTGTGCGCCGACACATAGGAGAAAAGAAACATGTGCATCCAAGAGGGAAGCACCGGCTTTGCAAATGATAATGGGGAGAATTTGAGATTGAGATAGGACAAAACAATAGTAAAAGCAGTGCACCGTAGGAAGATGGAGAGAACTGATATCGGATTTTAAGGCTGAGCGAAGGGGATCAAAGAGGGGTAGAAGGGAGCTGGAGTGCGGTCAGTATAATTAGGCTGGTGTGTTGGCTGCGATGAAGAGACCATAGCCTGTCTGTGGCCCACTCCCACTTGCTGCGCCGCAAGTGGTCGTTGACATTTTGGATTAGCAACTTACAAAGCAATGGGATGCCCAGCGAGCTATGCAGCGGAAATGGTGACTCTGATTTTGTTTACTGGGAGATACTGAAGTGCTGTCTGACGAGGGTACGGAATTTGGGCATATCTGGAGCTTGTCTAACACTGGGAGGCAGTTGGAGCCACGTGGAGTAGGAGGAAAAGAAAGGAGAATTTACGAATGGAGTAGACCTAGTAGGGGGAGACGAACGCAGCTTCGGGTGGTGCCACCTGGTTTAAACCAATTAAGTGACTGTAAATGAGCAGGGTGCTGGTCAAGAAAAGTTGAATGTGCCAGGGTGCACTTCAAGGGAATCATCAAGGTAGTGTTGCAGAGTAGTAGTGGATGCAGCAGCATACAAGTCTAGATTTGAGATAATTATAACGATCAGTACGAAATATGATGCGCAGTATACGGCGATGGAGAACTTCTAATTTACCTATGTGGGTTTTGTTAATGGTGGACCAGGCAGGGAAGCCGTCTCTCCGTTTTT